CCCGACCCAGGTGCAGGACCTTGCACTTGGCCTTGTTAAACCTCACGAGGTTCACACGGGCCCACTTCTTGAACTTGTCCAGGTCCCTCTGGATGGCATCCCGTCCCTCTGGCGTGTCGACCGCACCACTCAGCTTGGTGTCATCTGCAAACTTGCTGAGGGTGCACTTGATCCCACTGTCTATGGCACTGATGAAGATATTAAACAGTACCGGTCCCAATACGGACCAGTACTTCTTTTGTAAGAAGAAAGGAGCAGCCTCAACTTAGAAAACACATTATCAAATTAGAAGCTGTTCTGAAGTAATTTTCTACTAGCCTCAGAGGACCTGCAGTAATAGAGCAGAATTACAGCCTTCACACCATCTAATACAGACCTGTTTGCTCTCTCCAACTCCCATTTACGCAGTGGAAACATACAAGATTTCAAGTCAGAGAGTTGCACTGCTAACATGACAGCTTGGGAGGGCTTGGTAAAACCCCTCCCTTTAGACTACGGCTGCACTGCCAGTAATCTAGGCAGGAATAAAACTGCCATTCAAAACTGCCCACTACGCCAAAATGATGTACTAGATGAATTTCATTACTTTCTGCCAAAATCCAAATGGGCATAAATAATGCATAACTCAATGAGGAGCCTGAGAAAAACTATTCTAATTTAATAACCTGATTATGAGGAGTCTCTGCATGTTCTTTTTGTCTTAATAGTTCAATATCGAAATCTGGTAATGTTTTCGGGTAATATGCATCAACTTTTAGAGTCTAGTCAACTGGGCAACGATGGCAAGCAAGACTGATCTGACCTGAATCCTTTTAGAGGTCCATCCGCTGCTACTAAAGCATATCTTCCCTTGCCAACTGCTCACCTAAGCCATGCTACTGGTTCTGTGCTATAGGGAAAAAATAAATCTTTGTTTTACATGCTATCTACACCAGTCTTCTGCAGTTCTCAGCGACAAACTCGTGTCAGGGGTCCGTCTATGTACCTGACATTCCCACTGAATAGAAGCTGCACAGCTGAACTGAGTATTGCTGAGCTGTAGATGTTCATAGTAACACAAGACAGAAATGGGAGATCTCCTTTGGAGAATTTTCTGTGCTTGAACGAGAGTAAAGCAGGAAAATAACTCCATGGTTCCTTCCTTCCTAACTGAGAATGATTCCCTGAAATACTTCAGAAAGAAAATCTATCAATAAATGTTCCTTACTCTAATTGCTTCTTCTAGAGAATTTCTTCTAACTCTTTTGCAAAAAGTTCACTTTCAAAGACTGTATGGTATGTGTCTCTGCAGTAGCCAGGGCTGTAATTTCTCCAATTCATCCTACCAGAGGACAGATATATTATGCTACTTATTTTACTCATCTTACTCTTGATATAATTCAAGAGTACTTTCTTGTAACCCTTGAGAGAAGATTACTTAAACAAGGAAAATAAATGGTAAGAAAGCTCTTTTATCCATTCATCTACTGCGTGTCCCCTGCATAAACTTCTTTGTGCAAAAGTGGTGATGTGGCAGTGCATGTGAGCATGAGCAGACATGAGTTTGTGCACTGTTCCTATGAGATCAAGCATCTAAAAGAAGCTGGGTTTCCCCTCGTTTGCGAATTTGCCTCCTCTAAGGCAGGCTTATGTCAAACCCTTAACATTTAAAACTTAACGACTAAACGTTACAGTAAGGATATCTTTAAGAACTACAGATGCATGAGATGCAGGGTTTGGGGGCTGGAGAAGAAAAAGGTTGCCTTTTGGGGCTGTTTTAGCTTCTCAATGTACATTTGGCTCATGATCTTATTTCTTTGCAACAGTAAGGCTTCATAATTAGCTTGTATAAACAAAGTCTTAATTTAGGACATAGATTAAAAAAAGAGAAGGAATGTTTCAAAATTCACAATAAGTTTTCAAAGGTTGTCAGCTTGATGAGAACTCAAGTTGGTCATCCAAAATCAGAAGTCATGCAGTAAGTTCCTGACCTTGGTCACTTTGTGGGGAGAAGGAAGAGGGGATGGCCACCATGTTGCAGCAATGTGAGCCTCAAGTTGACCTTTTTATCCAGAGTCAGAAGTTGCCCTGAGTGTTTCTGTGCAGCTTTCACGTGGAGAAGGGGTGCGTGCTACACTTGGCTTGTTTTGCTCATAATATAAATACTGTTTTTTTCTTTTCTTGTTTTTCAGCAACAGTTGGCCAAGAATATAAAATTTGGGCAGCCTCCACAAATGACAGTTTCTGTGAGGACAATGGGGGAGGCAAACGCTAGTATGGAAGAGGATGCATTGCTCAAAAGCCCCATGGAGATTGAGGCTCAGCAGGACACAGTGATCTCAGACAGTGGTAATAAAGTAAGCACTTTAAATCGACGTATTCATGACATTATAGCAGTATTAAAACAGTAAAGTTCACTGGGGCATAGCAGATGTCTCCAGTGGGGTGTAGCTGAGCTCAGCGGGCTGTTTTATGTGGGTGGGATCTCTCAGCTCGTGCTGCTTTGACTGGTGAGAAGTGTGTGCTCTTGGCATCCTGAGCCGGGTCCCACAGAATTACCGGTTTGAACGTCTGCTCTGAACTTCCAGCAGTGCAGATATCACTCGCAGTGCAGCTAGAAGACAGGAAATTTTTCTGAGACAGAAAATGTCTTGAAATATGGACTTCCCAGCATGGAAAGTTGTGCACAGCATCAAATGGCAAAAAGGAAAATCATTCCAAAGTAAGAGAGGCATGGAGCCTAAATCCGTAAAATGCTGGGTCTTGGGGTAAATATTCGTATTTCTCGTGGACAGGAACTGAAGGCAAAGAAGGGGGAGAAACATTTTGAGAATGTTCCCTAAATCCAAACATCCAGTATAATTCAAATAATTATTCAAGTTATCCATGAAGATTTTGATACTAGGAACTGCAGGCATTCAGGTGTCCAGAAAGGGCTTGTTCAGGAATGAAGAAACACGGCGAGTGATGGAAGCTCTCTGGCAATCCTCTAAGGCGAGACTGGTTCTGTGTGTTGCTGTAATGGCTGAAGGGAGTGCGGTGGACAGAGGAACATCCCTCCCTGCCTGGAGGAGGCTGACTTTGTGCCTGGGAACCGCTGGGGAAGACACACAGCAACCCACCATGTGCATGCAGCCTATAAGATCCTGGAGGGACACCAGGGCATGGGCCTCAGCTTGTGTTCATTAGCACTAGTGCTAGCTGTGTGAAAGGCAAAGGCAGTAAGCGTCCTCTGCAGCTCATGCCTATATTCAGGCAAACACACAGAAGTGAGATTTATGGCTGAGGTGGCCCAAATTCTTCATCAGTCTTCAAGGGGCAACATAGCTCCTCTGTGACCACTTCCTTCGTGGCTGTGGTCGGATCTGTCAGGGAGCCAGGCGTTTGGATAGGACCTGCACACTCACGCCTCTCCCTCTGCAGTCTGGAAGGATAAAAATGCAGTCGAAGTAAGGTATATTTCTTGTGCTTCACAAATTCTCCCTTTTGAAGCAATCAGTTAAGGTGAATCAAGAGCATCCTGCGCACACAAAAAGTGCAGTGGGATTGTGGACAGGTTTTGGCTATGTACCCTGGTACTAGGTGAGACTCTGTGTTTGATACCAGCATACATTCTCTGCAGACAGCCTTCTTGCTGGGTCCTGCAGGAGACCTGAATGTCACCTAGTGACCTCCAGCTCAAAGGAGAAAATAACTCAAGCACGAAAAAAACACTGGAGTGTCTTTGTGTCATAAGGAGGGAGAGATTCAGTCCTTACAACCTACTCTTTTAAATATTATGTTTTGAAAACAAAATTAATGCCCCTTTGCATAGTTCTTTTTCCAAATACTGAAGGAGCAAACATCCCTACTCAGAGGAGATTACAGACACCACAAACCAATGCTACGTGCATAGGGTCAGCCAGAGCACTCGGTACTTTCCTTTTCTCTTACTGTGTGCTACTCATTACCTGCTTAAACACGGATTTCTGGTGCGCAGTGGCTTGCCTGGTTTCTGTTCCTGTCTCTGCTGTTGGCCTTGTAACTCCTCTGTGTGCTTATCTGCATAGGTCCTGGGGGGACGGGGTGGCTTCTGTCAGGAGTTGGTGGCCAGGACCACGTGGTGCGGCTCTACTTCAAACAGGTTTCCTGAGTTGCTTTGTGACTTTTGATTTTCCCGACTGAGTAACTTGGATCGATGGCAAGAGTTCTGCGTTTCATTTAACTTCTATTTGTAAAGCTGATTTTTTAGGCGTTATACTAACAATCATGTGCTCCTGGTGTAATGGGATCCCAACACGCATTAGGTTATGAAGTAATACTGTGATATAATGATCAAAAACAATGTTTCTGTGTGTGATGAATGCTGCTTCGACCCCTGCGCCTTAAAAATCCCCTCCTGTGAGATGGCTGGGAGAGGGACGGTAGCTAAGGAGTCCTAGTGACTGATAGGCTCCGATTGCTCTGGGGGAGCTGGTTTGCTTTGTAAGAGGAGTCATCAAGAATCTGGAGTTGAAACTCTTTGCAGCAGAGGTAATGCCTGATCAAGTTCCTATTTTTTTTCCTTAGGTGTAGATCAGGAGAAAATAAAGTTATTAAGAGCTGATTGAAATCCTACAAAGCTGTGCTCTTTCTTTTGATTCGGAACCTGGTTATCTTGCTAAGGAAGCGTGAGCATTTTGCCTTTTGTAGAGTCTTGTAGCAGCAACTGCTTCTCTATAGACAGCAGTGATTCAAGGCTCACAGCATTTAGGAACAAGAATTGTTTATCCATCCATCCGGCAGTGACAGGGAACAGGGTAAAAATCCTACTCTAACATGCATGATTTCACAAGTCCTTTGAACCATATTTGTTAGATCCTTTGCATTTTAATATCTAGCTGTGGTAATCTTGTTTTCTAGTCCACTGACACCCCAGCTTTGTTGAGAACAATGAATTTGCCTGGAACAAGACATGAAGTGGAAGAAAAGGTAACAAAACTTTTACACTCGGTTTGCACCAAGTTAATTTCTAATTTTAGTTATTAGAAGCCTGGCAGTTTTTGCTTTAATACACATTTCATTGTTCCATGATCATCCAAGATTTTGTGAACGTTGCGCAGTTTGGAGGCTAGTAAATAAGCAATAACTAAGATTGAGAAATCTGTAAGAGTTGATTGCAGGAAACAGCAGAACTCGGTCTCTGCCAGTCTTGCAGCATTCCTGCATTTGATGTATTAATCATAGAGTCATAATTTTCATAAGTATTTCTACTACTTTGTTATGCCTACATGTAATTCAGTAAGCATATGCAAAATGTTCCATCAGCTTTTAAGTAATTGGTTCCCTAATTAGCATATGTTTAACCTCAGAAGATTACAGAGCTGTCTTGAAAACAATGTATGTGATTTTCTTTCCTTACAGAAGATGTCTTCTCCCTTCTTTTTTTTTCTGTCTTCTTTTTCCACTTGGATTGTGCCAAATACCAGTCTCAGGATGATAGCTCAGTGACTTACAGGAGAGACTGATTACAGGCTCACTCTTACATGTCTAGACATACAGTGCCACTGTATTTATTCATGAGAGGAGTCTCACTAAATCACTTTGTATTTGCACTTTCTGAACCCAAATATTTGAAGGGCAAGAGAAAAAAGCACCAATCAAAGCCAGTATTGTCTTATTTTATTTTTAGCTGTTCTTTGGTGCTAGCTTGGACAACTCCACATGACTGTGGAGGGAAGGTTTTCCACAGGCACTGTGCCAGTCTGAGATCCAATACCATAGTCATCTCCCATGCAGACAGTACAGCTCTGTAGCTGTTCTATTATAATGCTTAGATAAGTCAATCTGACTTGCTCTTGCCTAAAGTGTATAATCTAAATCATTTAAAGATGTAGATATTGCTTCCACAGTAAGCAAACTTTAAAATGTCCCAGTGTTTGGTGTTGCTTAAAACTCTGCTGCTGCCCTTCCCATTCCCAACAACTTCTGAGTGGAGCTAAACTGTGAAAAAACTTCAGTTAGAATGGTCTAAGTAATTTTTAAGTGAAAAGTATAAAAACGTGTAATACTGGAAATAGAAAAATATTACAGCTGTAACTTTCATGTCCAAAGTTCATGATTTGTATAATGGAAAAACAGGGTTTGAAATCTTTTCTGTTAATAACTCCTTTGAATTCAAAACTGCAAATTTTTTGTGTGTGTGTGTGTGTGTGTTCTTTCGTTCTTTCTTTTTCTTTTTTTCTTTATTTATTTATTTAAATTGAACAAATAGCTTAATAATAGCTTCTTGTGTTTGTGATACAAACAGGTCACTCCAGTCAAATCATCTCGGCCAAAAAGACAATTTTCCTGTTCTGGCACAATTGAAACAATCAATTTGGATGCAGTTCCCCAGGCTGTTGCTCGTCTAGACAACAGTGCAGCTAAACACAAGCTGTCAGTGAAGCCAAAAAAGCAGAGGGTGTCAAGAAAGCACAAGAGATTAACAAAGGTATTGAGTCACTGGCCAAATAGTGAGAGGAGGGGGATTGCTTTTGAAGCTGGGTACAAAATAATCTTAACTGAGTGCACCAGGAGTAGCTATAGACAGGACTGTCTTAAGATGTGATGAACACTGTTAGAGATAGCTATTGAAAGCTTCTTCGACAAACCTTGCGTCTTCAGGGCAAAACAAAATGCATGCTTCTTTCGTTTTGTCTTGAAATCAAGACCTAAAGATGAAACCCTAGCTGGAGAGAAGATGCAAAGAAGTTTTAATATGGCCTGTTGGGACAAATACTACTTACACCTGAGGTACTTCCACTAGGATTTTACATTGGGAGAGCTTTCTGATTCTAGTTTTTCTAGTAAAAAATTTAGGTCATAAAGGTCTGAAGGATATCTGCCACTGTTATTGCTGCTCTGGTATAGGCAATCTGATAGTGCAAGATTTGGTTGGGGGAAAAAAAATAGATTCTCTAAAACTGGCATGGGTTCTGACAGTGGTAATATCATTGTCTTATAAGAAAGAATAAGACTGAAGTAACACAGCTCTTGCTACAGCTAGAGTGAACTATCAAATCCTCACTTTGTACTCTTACTGCATGGCTTTTTTGTTTTTTATCCTGACATCTTACCAGTGCTTGTAAATGGGACAAGACTATTCAACTACTACAGGGTTCAGGAGAGGCCACTGTCCTTTCTTCTGCATCATTGTACTTGCAATTATCACTCTTGCAATGAAGAAATTAAATTTAAACCTCTTGTTTATACAGAATGTTTAACTGGAGCCAAATGATGGCTCAACAAATGATAGCTAGACAGGGCATTAGCTGAGCTGTTTTCCTCAAGGAAAGTGCTGGGAAGCGCTCTTCAGGTGCAGCTCATCTTCAGACCATGTCGCTACAGAGACAAGGAGTAAGCTGTGAAGAAGATCTGTATTCAGTTTATTGCAGGTATTGCACCCACATGCCAGGGCTGTGGGGCAAGCACAGAGAAGCAGCAGTCAGCAGTTAGTATGTGCCTCAGTACGGTACAGTATTGCTGGGGAGCTCTAGGTTCTCTGTCCATGCATGGTCCCACTGTTCCTGCAACAGAATTGGAGTCTCAGCACAGCTAGTGGAGGAAGATATCCTGGCTCAGGATTTGTGAAAAGCAACCAAATTGTGTTTCCCTGAGCAGTGTTCTTTCCTGGCTCGCATTGCAGAGCCCTTTTCTGCAGGCAACAGCTTCTGTCTCTGCAAGTAACAGCTAGATTTGCCATGAAAGAACTGGCAAAACAATGCCCTTAAGCAGGTGCTCATTATTTCAGGCTTAAAGGATGGAGTTCTAAGTAGTGGAACAGGCATATGAAACCTATGCTCTATTCCTCGGGCTTCTGTAAATTTGAAATGGCAGGTCTCAATCTGGATTAGCTCATGTACACCAAATGGTGATTCAATATTTAGCATTATACTGTTATCGCTGTTGAGATGTTTTCTTTCTTTTAAAGGCTATCATCCAAATAGGTGAGAGGCATGGGATATATGATGATGTGATCCATAAATTGGGGTGGGTGTGTTGGTGTGTTGGCTCTAGATCTAAATCATTGTTTAAAAAAAAAAGTTGATTTGCATTTGCAACTGATTGTTTGTTCACTGTAAAGAATAACGAGCCAATAGGCAATATTCAGTAACTCCAAACTCGTCTCTCAATTTTAGGGATCACAAAGTTTAACAATAACAGAATTTGAGCCGGAGGACCTAGAAACTCAGCTGTATGGAGACAGATACCCAGGTTATAATGGACACATCATAGCAGACAAGCTAATCCAGAACAGAGATGAGCAGAAACAGCTTCAGCTGGCAGAGGAGAAAAGAATTGAAGATCGCTGGGGGATCTTTGAGGCCGAAAGGATAAGGCAGATTGTAGAAATGGAAGAACAAAGAGAAATGGAAGAACAAAAGTGCCAAGAACTTGAGCAGATGCAAAAAGAGCAGGAGAGAAGGCATTGTGAAGAAGAGAGGCAGTATCTCCTTGAAGGAGAGACATCTTTGAAAATAGAAGAGCAGACATGCCATAAAGAGGAGAGAAGACTGCTGGAGGCTGAAAAGAGGCAAGAGCTGGAGAAGCAGAGGCAGAAGGAGTTGGAGGAGCAACAGAGACAAGAGCTGGAGGAGCAGAAGCGACAGGAACGGGAGGAGCGACAGAGACGAGAGCTGGGAGGACAGGCAACAGGAGTGGGAGGAGCACGAGAGCTGGAGGAGCAGAAGCTCCAGGAACAGGAGGAGCAACAGACGAGAGCTGCAGGAGCAGAAGCGACAGGAATGGGAGGAGCGACAGAGACGAGAGCTGGAGGAGCAGAAGCTCCAGGAACAGGAGGAGCAACAGAGACGAGAGCTGGAGGAGCAGAAGCTCTGGGAACAGGAAGAGCGGAGATGTCAGGAGTTGGAGGAGCGGAAGAGGCAAGAGCTAGAGGAGCAGAAGCATCAGGAATGGGAAGAGCAGAGGCGCAAGGAGCTGGAGGAGAAACAGAGACGAGAGCTGGAGGAGCAGAAGAGGCTAGAGCTGGAAGAATTAAGGCAACACGAGATTGAAAAACAGTGTCAAGAGGAAGAAGAAAGAAATTGGCTGGAGGAACAAAAAGACCTCGAACAAAATAAGGAAGAAAAACAGAGGCGAGAGCTAGAAGAGCTTCAAGAAGCTGAAATAAAACTGAAGCAGGAGAAAGAAGCTGACAGCCTCAAACAACAGAAGAAACAGGAGGAACAAAGGCAGCATTTGAAGGAGAAAGGAGAAAAGACAGAGAAGGAACAACCCCAGCAAGTAACAGATAAGAAAAAGAAATGGGAAGAGCAGAGAAAACACAAGCTCACGAAACAAATGCACATGGAAAGTGCAGAGGGTGTGCAACAAGATGAACTGAAGCAGCAAAAGGAACAAAATGAACGAGAATGGAACAAGCTGGAAGAGCAGAAGGTAGACACAGAAGGACAAAATCTTCAGCAAAACCAACAAGAAAAATCCTTAGAACAGCAACAGGACAAGGATCAGTTGTGTTCTGGAGGGGCTGATAGGCATGTGGTAGAGGAGAAGCTCCAAGAAGGATCAAGATCCCAAAAACTCAAACAGCCAGAAAAAGGGAATAAAACAGCAGAAGAAGTCCTAGCCCAGAAACTGAAGAGAGAAGTTGAGGCTCAGGAACAAAAGCGAATAGGGGAAGAACTTAGGTGGCAAGAGGTAGATGAAAGACAAACTGCATCCAGACCCTTCACATTTCAAGTGTCTTCTGGAGATAAACAGATCATATTTCAGAAAGTAAATCTGAGTCCAGTCATGCCCGTCAGAGGAGCAGGACTCTCTTCTCCATCCATCAAAGACTGCAGGATGCATGCTTCCAGCAAGGGCTCTCATACACTCCCGTCATCTGTGTGTGTACCCCATACAGCTATTTTGGTTACTGGAGCACAGCTGTGTGGCACAGCAGTTAACTTGAACCAGATAAAGGACACAGCTTGTAAATCATTACTTGGCTTAACAGAAGAGAGAAAAAATGTGGATATTCCTTCACCAGAGAAGGCCCAGAAAAAAACCCAGGATCCCAAACCCAGCAGCAGTAAAATGAAATATGCACAAGAGACATTGAACAACCAGGCTGTACTAGCTGAGTGGGCTTCTATCCGCTCCAGGATCCTAAAGAATGCAGAAAACAGCAAATATAACGAGAGAGACCGAGTAAGTGTCTGCAGACACAGTGATGACTGGACACCCCGAGGACGGGGTGCTCCCCATGGTAACTTGAGGAAAACCCTCTCTGCAAATGCGAAGTTCTCGATAACACCAGCATGGCAGAAATTTTCAGAAGCTTCAAAAACCAGTTCAGATGCTGAGAATGTAAGTGCAGCAACAGGCAATGAAACAGTGGCTGTGGGAAGAATCACTGGCTCATCCTCTGATTTGAAGGAGGATGTGGCTTCCACTTTTAAGGATAACTTAGCTGAAAAGGCTAAGGAGAAAATGGAAACCCATAGTGAAATGACAGACAACACAGAAGGCTGTAAATTTGCAAAAGATCTTCCATCTTTCCTTGTTCCAAGTTTTCCTCATTCTCCGAGTAAAGAATTAGCCCAGGCAGAACTTCGCGGTGCTCTGGAAAATCAGCAGAATAACAGCACAAAAAAAGCAGATAAACCAGCACCAAATGGAGAAGAAAATATTTCTCCTTTTGGGATAAAGTTACGAAGGACAAACTACTCTTTACGTTTCCATTATGATCAACAGGCAGAGCAAAGGAAAAAGAAAAGATACAGTGCCGGAGATAGTTTTGATGGTGTGCCTGACCCACTAGTTACAACAGAAGGTGAGAAAGAATCCTCTGGTTTTGCTCCACCAGAGAGTACATCCCCTGGCATGGGGAGAGCAAACGTCCCTGGTATTTTAAAAGACTCAAAAGACTCTTCAATTACTGTGGTGGAGATTTCACAACCAGCATGCACACCAGTGGTCCTACCAGCCACTGGTCAGAGTGCTTTACCCCCTCATGAGAAACCAGCATGCAAGTCACTGGTCCCACAGAAACCTGCTTTAGCTCCAAAGCCCACCAGCCAGACACCACCATCGTCTCCTCTCTCTAAAATGAACAGATCAAACCTAGCTGATATGCTAGGGCAAAGGTTGGTTAAAGCTGAATCGGATGGTGGCTGGAGAAAAGAAGACAGAGCAAATGCAGTGCACCCCACACCATCCAATGAGTACAAAAATGAAGAGGAAGAAATCAGAGAAAAGAAGTCGTTTTTCCCATCTATAAGTATTCCATGGAGAGAAAAAAATGACAAAAAGCCTGAGCCATTGAAGAAGGGTAAGTATTTTTCAAAGGTCATTTAGCTATTGTCTGCATTTCCAAAATGAGATACTGGAGGTCCAGAGGAAGACATTTGGCCTTAAGCTAGAATTTTTACCTGACGTTATTTGTGGAGTACCACTACTTTGCTTAGGGTTGTCTGAATGAATGGGACTTCCCATCCCCACAGTTTAATTCAGAAACACACAAACAGCGTGACCAGTGTGACCTGCTTAAGAAAGTTAATTTCAAGGATGTAACTGAAGTGTGTGTGAGTTTTCCTTGGTAGAGATGTTACCTAGTTAGTCGGAGGATGGACTGTCTGTTCCATGTGTAATGGTGTCATCAGAGCAGAGGGAGTCATTTTTATAATTTACATTATGTTGTTTCTATTCTTGAGGGGAATATTATCTAGCTGAAAAAATATTAAGATCTAGGTCCCCTTATAGTGCCTATCCTGGGCAAATTCTCTATCTAACCTGATATAGCTGGGCATAGGAGTCTGCATTTCAGGGGCACTCTTCAGTAATAGAAACAATTACAGTAGCCATAGTGAGCTCTTCAGAGGAGGGTTGAAAGCCCCTGTGTCCTGAAATAGTATTCTGTACAAGAGGAAAAATTACCCTTTCCACATAAGGACACTCAAAAGAGCAAGGCAGGAACTCAGCATTTAATTGGGAAATCCCAATTTTTTTCCAATCTTGAATTTTGCAAGCATCAAGACATTTCTAAAACCGTATCTCAGTGGAATTGCTGCTTATTTTTTCAATTTTTTTACACTTTTTCCTTTCAATTCCATTTTTAAATGAGGGTTATGGAAACTAGTTGGAGGCACAGCTGCCGGCCTGGGAGAGCCGGGCCAGTGGAGGGTTTCTGTGCTCACTGAGCTCTGCAGGAGCACCTTTGCACCCCAATGCTGCTCCCTGCCGCTCAGAGCTCTATACTCGGTGCTAGCCCCAATTTCATGCAGGGTACAGAAAGTCAGATGCTCAAGTGACGATTTAAAAAAATAAACAAACCATTTTTTAAGAGGGGCTGCATTTATAGGAGTACATCATTTCAGTGCCCTTTATTTGGCTGAAGTTTGGACTTCTTCCCTTAAATACGGCTGGAAAATCAGGCAACTGCAGTACGTAGTGGCTGGATCCCTTCCATCAGAGGTGTAAACAATCAGTGTATATGTATCATCACTTTCACTTAAATATGTAGTAAACTAGGCTATAGCTCTAAGAGTCCGGGGTAGGCTTTTTCACAAAAAAGGATAAATTTGGACAGCTGTATGAGTGTATTGAATTAGGTCTTATTCTTGAGGCATAAAAACTGTTTCAGGGTTTGACATACAGCCCACGAAGGTCTGTGAATGGCATGGCATTCAATGGGCTTAGCTCCGGAGTGTTCACAAGGTAGAGAAGGTATAACGGTTTGCTTGAGACAGGAGATGTGCATTACTTAACCAATTCTTCTCATGTTTTCTTTCAGAAAAACCTGTCCTCCAGAGCAGGCACTCTTTAGATGGCTCTAAATTGATGGAAAAAGTTGAAACTTCACAACCACTTTGGATTACATTAGCGCTGCAAAAGCAAAAGGGATTTCGTGAACAGCAAGCTACGAGGGAGGAGAGGAAACAAGCCAGAGAGGCCAAGCAAGCAGAGAAGCTGGCTAAAGAAAATGTAAACAATCTTTAGAAACCTGCCCATCAGAAATACTGATACCATAATTACAGTAATTTTATTATGTGAAAGGGATTTTTTTTTTTTAATGTTTGGTTTGTAAGATTTCATAAAAGCTAAAATGACAGTGAGTAAAAAGTAGTCTGAAAGTCTGGAGTTCCCTTTTGCAAAACTGAGACCTCCAGGAGAAAATACTGTGCAGTAGTGTGACAATTTTAGGGTAAACTCTGATGCCTTAATATCAGGACGTGGTTAACGGCAATCATAAGCATGACCACTGCACAGGTGATGGAACAGAAAAATTGTATGCAACATGGTTCTTTCAAAGCTTGAGTAAATAAGATGTTACGCCTTAATGCTTGGGGAATAACACCTGGAATACTCATTTATAGGTCAATATAGGTGAATACTAGTAAGTTTGAATTTATTTTTATCATAATGTATTACTTGGATAAATTGTAGATGAATGAAAGAAATGAACTGTCACGTGAAACATCCAACTGCCTAAAGCAGGCACTGAATTCAAGTATCACCTCTTTCCTGTTCTTTAAATAGCTATTTACTATCCATGGTTTTCTATTAGTAAGAAAAACACTTCTACTTACAGTACAGAAGTGATGCTACACAAGCAGTGATGCTGTATATAGATACCACAGATGGTGAAAAGGGAGGTTATGTGGATAACTAAGTATATTTTGATGTTTGTTATGAGACTGAAATTTCTGATGGACACGTGCATAATTACAGACATAGATAATTGGCGGAAGAAAACAGCAGTGGGTGTGAGGTTGCCCACAGATGCACGCTGTGTTTCAGTGCTGTATTTAACAGGTAGGGCTGGCTCAAACTGTTCAATATTTTGACTGAAATGACAACATGACAAATTTCTTTGTGTTGTTTTTTTTTTTTACAGTCTTTAATAACTGCTAGTTTTAGAAGTATCAGAGTGTTTTGAGTCTTTGCCGAAAAGGAAGGTTAAGGAAAGGACAGGTGATGAATGAAAGCATGAAGTGTGACATTTCTTACTTGTAGCCACTACATGACAGACTATTTCTCATTTAGCAGTTTTCCTTCTCTCTTCTAGGCTGCTGTAAGTAATCAGTCAGATAATAAAAGCAGCAGCAGCAAAACAAGCACACTGCAGAAATCTACACCTCAAGAAGGGGAAAAGAAAATTGAGACTGCTGTGTCAAGACTAGAAAGAAGGGAGCAGCTAAAAAAGTCAAACACCCTTCCAACTTCTGTGACAGGTACAGTGAGAGATTCAGATTTACTCTAGGAATAATGCACTTCAGAAATGGTACTGCGTGTTTTGAGAAAGTGAATGAACGGGGTTTTTTTTCCCTCATGTATTATCCCTAGGATTACAAATGCATTTGCTTTCAGCACGGAACAATGCAACTTGTCCCAGTCTCATGTGCTGGCCGTTACACTGGAAGTACATCGTTTTAACAGGTTTTCACCAGGTTCCCCAGGTTATCAAGGTTGCACTACTGCATTTCCTTAGAACTGCCCCAGTTCCAGTTAAAAAAATCAGGCTGTTTCCCCAAGCCATATCCAACAGTATTTTTGGAACATGACTAACGCACATTAGAGGGATTTGATTTACTGTAAATTGCAATTGCAGTACTGTTTTGCCTTTAGGTTGGGGGTTAGCACAGAGGGGGAATGATACTTAACTTCTACAAAGTGTATTTTCGTAGGAAATGAAGTATATCGTGTTCCCACACCTCCCAGTTTGCCAAGGAGAAATACTCACCCCAGAATATTTGGAACGAGTAGTCTCATTTCATTCAAAAATGCAAAAACTAATCAATTCAGGTAGCCTGTCACTTTGAATTTAGGACTTCTCCTCCCAGTCAAGTATTTGGTATGGAAGACTGGAACCAGAACCTACTACTTTATCTGTCACTTCAGTTAAGCTGAAACAATTACGTATTCAAAAGGCAGGCACATTCCTTCCCCAAAGGGCATAGTATTTGGGGCGGTGTGATTGTTGAAACAGAGACTTGCCGAATATTTCTCTAGCCAACATTAGTCCTAGGCAAAAGGTTTTGTAGAATAGTGCAGGTAGGTGTCAAAGAAACCTTTTTACAAGTTGCCCAGTAAATAGCGTGGGCTTCTTCGAAAGTAAATCCACATTATCAGCTGAATCTATTCAGTACCACTCCAAGCCAAGAATTATGGAATGCAACTATTGAAAGCAACGAGGTAATTAATTTACCTGACCTGTAATAGTAAAGGCTAAAAAAACAGTGCTCCTCCGGCATTACAGACGTTCCAAGCTGAACAACCCCCACGCGTGCCTATATTCCGTCGGTTCATGTCCACACTGCAGCTGCACGCCAGCGCGGATATCCCTGAGAATTTTACTTGCAACGCCTTGGGTTGGACTAGGTGATCTTTAAAGGCCCCTTCCAACCCAGACCATTCTAAGATCTCACATAGATTGCCCAAAACTTTCATGCTCCCTGTTAGCCTGCTTCCAGTGTCCAAACTGGCTTTGAAGGTGGGCAGCTGGAGAAGCTTTACAGCATTCCTGCCAAGCTGTAACAGGGCTCTGTTGCAGCCCTACCCCAAAAGATTCAGCAGTATGATGCTATGCTGCACACGGTCAATGCTAGCTGAAATCAAACTCTAGCACAATAGATGATGCCAGATTAGATCAAAGAAGGGCCAAAACCCAATTATCCTTGGTTGATCTGTCTGCACTAGAATGAGTTTCAGGAGGAAATTCGGGAGGAATTACCAATTTTGAGTTACCTGAAGTGAAAGCATAGAACTGTGTTGGCCCTAAAGGAAATAGCGACTGGATTTCCATGCGATTACTGGCTACACTTGGAGCCAGGTAGCCGTTATCAACGATACAAATATACTACATACAAGTATTTGTTTATTATGGATGATGACACTGATTCGGGTTTCCCACAATTAGGAGAGCACTTAAGGCAGAAGACCAGGCTAGAACATGTTTAAAATAAAAGTTTCCTGAGTCCTCCTCTAAGGACATTAAAAAAACACCCAAAACTTGAGAAAGTTGGTATATTTCAGAGTTGCACTTGAGTCTTGTACAACAGGAACTGATAAGAGGGTGTAACCTTTAAAATAGCATAAATTACCATAACCTTTAAAATAATTAGTTTTTCAAAGTGTCTATCTACAGCAATAGCTGCTACTGTTCATTTACTTATAGCTAAAAATACATGATTAAAGATGTACTAAAACGAAAAATAAATTATTTTTGCCATCTATGCAATTTTAAAGCTTTTTAAAACATTCAAAACCTGAAAATGAAATGCAACTAAAAGTAATTTGGCCTGAATATGAACTTTTAACAAAAAAAAAGCTTTTTGGCTCATAAAAAAATAAAAGATGTAAGAGGGGATTAGTGAGGAGTTATTTTGTAACTAAGATTTTTGGAGTTGCTCCATAGATTTCCGATAGGACTCATTTCTACCCAGGCTGCCTTCAAGGGCATTCGCTGTCCCACAATTAAACAACCTTCCCACCTGACTTCTACAATATACTTCTACAGTTCTGCCCTGTAAAGTTGCTTGTTAGAAATCAGTTGCTTACCCAACACATTTTTCCCCGCTGAGACAACTGTTTGTCTTAAATATACTATTTTCAAGAAAATGTGACAAACAGCTATTGGAGAAAGCTGGTTCATTTCTTCTTCAGGATAGTCTCATGGGAGTGGTTAACTGAGGCAGAAAACTATAGGACCGCTTTCTTCTCTGTGCTTATTCAAGAACTCTAATCTGAAGAGGCAATCTAAATCCTACTGAATACAGTCGGGTTACACGTGTTCAGCAGCTGCATTACCAAAGAGAAAAAAAAATCCGGATTTCCCATTGTTTGCTACATTGCAGATGTAATTAAAATAGTTTGTGTAAAGAAGACAACTGGCAAATTGGAAATGTTTTCTCTGGATCTCACAGCGACTGAAAATTTTGTCCCTATTTTTGTGAGTTACATTACTTGGAGTCACCTCTGAAAAAAGAAACTCGGCTCCTCCTAACTCGATTATTTTGCAAATACAATAAAAAGTAAGATTTAACTAAAAGGGTTGGAAATAAATATGAAGTGTTAGATCAGAACGTCTTCACAGAAAAGACGCAAAATCTCTAGAATCCTGCAGCAAAGTACAGGGTTCAACTAATGTTTTTTTTTCTCTTCCCCTCCCCACCCCATCAAAAACAGTGGAAATTTCAGATTCTGTTCCGTCAACCCCACCGGCAAAGGAGGTGGCCAAGAGATTCTCTACGCCTGATGCTAACCCTGTGTCAACAGAACCAGCCTGGCTTGCGTTAGCCAAGAGGAAAGCAAAAGCCTGGAGTGACTGTCCACAGATCATAAAGTAAACTGTAAAATTACATCTCTATTGCTGACTATTAATTGCTTTATTTATTCAGCTTTTTACACATGACAAAACTGAAAATGCATGTACTGAAGGACTGAAAACTGAACTGATTACCATTTTGCTCTAGCTCACTGTAAAGTCTACTCAAGTCATATATTCCATTGCTTTGACAAATAGCTCAGTGAGGTCACGGCAAAAATTTCAGAGCCAGACTCTCAAAAATTTAAGAATGTTCAGCTGCTGGATGTAAATTTTAGCGAGTATCATAAAAAGGGCTGGAACTTCAGTTCGGAAGCTCCTTAAATTCTGTGAGTATTCGGTTCTGGAATTTTAGATCTCTACACTTAAGTGGAGATCTCAGAATTTTTTTTCAACACTCCATTGTTTAAAATTAAGGCAAGATGCATGTTCCCTTCTCTTATTCCTAATTTTTTTTTAAGTGTTAAACGGTATGAACTGTCAGTTCTACCTGCTATTTGAAAGCTTCTTCCCTAACGAAGAACTTCGGGAGACATCTTTCCACCTGCAAATGATAAGAAGAAAGATGGTACCATCCAAATGCTGGGGTAATTTCTTTCATCATAGGATTAATACACTGTATCAATATTCCCTCACTCCTAGGAAGAAAACAATTCATCCTACTTAACAAAAAACCACTATTTAAACAAAAGTCAGAAAGTTTTCAGAAGGAAGCCAGGGAGTCGGTGTTTATTCTTGTCATTTAAGTGCATCGCTGTTTGTGCTTGGCCATATTTAAGATGCACAGAGACAGTGATTGCAGATTGTAACTGTAAATCAATCGATTGGAACTAAAGTAAGTAAAACTATTCCTGTGCTCACGTAGCTGTAGAATTAGTAAGTTCCCACAGGAGTAAGACTTGCAGAACTGAAGTTAACTGAGAACTGAAAGCTAAGTCAGCGAGAGTCTCAAGAGTTTTAACTCTGCGTTCTTCCTGATTTTACTCCACGTGCATTTCAGGTAGTTCAGATAACTTCCTGTACTTTGACCAATACAGCCAGAACGCTTCAGGAAGAAGTTTACTCACCCCATCTCAGGTATCTGCTGTGGCAGTTGAACACTTTATTATTTCTTGTAACTAAAAGAGAAATGTTCACCCCCTCCTTCTTACAAAAAAGGATGAAGTCCATAAAGTAATAAAAATTTTACTATCCTCAACATCCCACAGAAATAGCTAGGTCAACATTTTAAAAAGTCACTCTAGTAAATGAATCTGTAACACACCTGAGTTTGTTTTACAAGGTAGTCTTTAACAAATTTGAACATCTCCTTCTTATAACCATAAGGCTCAAAGGAACCTTTAAGCCTACAACATCATAAAGGGAGACATTTTCATGAGAAGAAATTGCATCATTATAGAATGATACCACATACGTTTCATGGAAGTATTTTAGCCAAACTGCTGTAGGCAGCATGAGGAGTAGCACTTTAAATTAAGCAGAAAACAGAATGAAACCTGCCATATCCGCCCGTTCCAAGAATCAAAAAGGACTTGTCAGCAAAAGTCAATATTGAATACACTATTTCCCACCAAACAGAAAACAATGGTTCAGTATTATGGTTACAATAGCACAAACACAATGGACATGTTAGATTGAGTAGATGCGCAGCAGCAAGATGGGGTTTTTTGGGTCTCTTAAGCCATCAGTTTTGCTGTTTCATATTTAAAACCAGAATCTCTACAGTAACTTTTTACCCTTAATATATTTAAAATGTTTTATACAGAGATGGGGTAATGCTGCTCTCAAATGCTTGGGGGGAAAAAAACCAAACAAACCAACACTTAACGCCTTCAAAGTCAAATCGCTGCAAGCTTATCTGAAGAAAGAATTGGGCCCATAATTATTTTTGCTCTGCTAGCACCATGAATTAGTGCTTCTGAAGTTAAATTTACACTTTCTCTGAGTTTATAAGCCTGCAGTATGTGTTTGTAATTACAAGAACTAAACTGCCTGAAATCCATCTTTATGATCATTTCTTGGGGGAAGGAGCCAGGCAGAAATATGGGGAAGGTGAAGTAAATCGGGATTAAGGAATTAAAGATACTGGTATTCTGAAAAGCATAGCAAAATTAGGTGCTATTGTGCATGACATAAGGATGCAATTTTCCAATACAATACATTTATAGCACATAGAATAGAGCTTTCATTAAGGATGGTCTTAATCTAAAGCTTCAAAGCAGAGGGTTTTTTCCAACCATAAAGGTATCTAGTGTAATAATGGAAACTGTATTATGTACAGTACTTGGTGGAAACATTTCTAAAGTCTACATGTTCAACAGTCACATTTCATGTTAAATTAACAAAGATTTGCACTAAATACCCATGAAGTGAAGTGTTACTTTGCTTTAGAGCTTTGTTGCAACCATTTCTGATAAAGTGTTGGAAATCTGTAAAAATAAAACCAAAACATTACTACTGAGTTTAAAACAGCAAAAATGTTTTTAGAACCGAACAAACCACTATGTAGTATATTGTCTCAATTTTTTGTAACTTGTATACACAAAATACCATTTCTTCTGACAAGGTTATATAATATTAACCTCTATGTTCATATAGTAATGTATAAAAACTGTAAGATGTATAATTGTGGGGTATTTGTTGTGTACTTTTTTAATTTTTCAAATGTTTTAAAGTGCAATTGTTTATTATACTAATGTCATTTTAATTCTTATTAAACTATAACCCAGTCAAAATCATCTAATCAATGATGTATGTATTTTGTGTCTCCTTTTGCTAACCACGTAGTTCAGGTTTGCTTTATAAATAGAACTTTTTACAGTGCTACAAGTGTCTTGCCTATGTATTTCTGCTAACGATTAAATGGAGGAACCAGACACGATGAAGCAACATAGCCAGTGCAACTTTTACTTTACTTTTTAATTCAAGATGTTAGAATTCAAAGTAGATGGCTCATCAGAGAGAGAGAGATAATAGTTTCTGCTATAGTTCTTTTAGAAGACTCATCGGGAAGATGTTAAGTGTACTTTTGTACAACTGTACAACTGTACAAGCTGTACTTTTGTACAGCTGCAGACTATGGCACCTTACCACAGTTTCTCCCAGTCCTGCAAGTGTTTGAAGCCGAACTACTGACTTTCATTTTCTTACTACGCAGGTCAAAGCACAACGTTCAGATCCAAACCACCTGAAACATGTTCTTTAATGAATCGGAGCTGGGAAATGAGGGGGGACAGTGAAACTTCCGGCTGGGTGCTGAGCAGCCATCCTCCTTCAGTCAGTACAGCACGTTGACAAACATCCCTTTACCTACTCTGGACACTACCTGGTACAAAATGCTACCTGAGAAGTCTGCAAAGAGCTCCTCTTGCCTACAGTAAAATAGGCAAAGAGGTAGAGAGCACCTGTGAGTTCTTAGTTTACAAATGTAAACAATAAAAAGGAAGCAGCCTAACATCTTAGTTGTTCTTTTTTTCCTGTTATATACAAATCTAGGCAATAAACATAATCATTTCTACAACCAACAACAAGTTTTGTTCCCCATACTACCGGGGAAGAGAAAACCTCTCCTGGAAGCTTATCTACTCCTTCTGCTGTTCCACTCTTGGCATTCAGGATCCACACTTTGCCATCTGTAGATACTGCTGCCAAAAGAATTTTGTTCTTTAAGTCATCACTTTGGAAAACGAATGGTGTTCCATATACACTTGAAGTGGCTTCAAATTTCCACAGTAAATTACCTTCCATGTTACAACAGTAGATAAAGCAGTCATGGGAGCCAAAAAATATTTCTTGCGTAGTTAAACTTGAGATGCATGGAGATGAAAACACCGGTCCATTAGTGGAAAACTGCCAAACCTACAGAAAGAACATAACCACCCATTATCAAAGGTTGTTCTCATTATCAGTTTGACAGCAACTGTAATTTTTTAATAGACTAGTTGTTGACAGGAGAGCATTTTATTTCAAGAGCATACGAGATTTCAGTGAGGGCTGGTAAATACTTGTCAAATTACAAGATAAGGTTTGCACATGGAGTAAGGGATAAAAGACTCATAAAATAGATGTGCAAGAGTTACTACCTTCTGTGAGGCCCACGTAAAGATGGCCAACTTGAGAAAAGGATATTCTTGGGCTGTTGTACCACAATTAGTAATGAACTTTGAGAATTCTGTTAACATGCCACTCTTTGCCAAAAAGGCAAATACTCCTCTTGTAATATAGATTTCCTCTGCTCATGCTAATGATGTGCAGATCCCTCCTCAAGAGAGTATCAATTCTGCAACACTGCTTCAAGCAGACAGAGAGCAGGGCATGGGCTAATACATATTTTATAATCAGAAAAGGCTTAGGAATTGCCATGTATACTGCATTTCAGGCAAACAAAGAGAAACAGTGTCAGTTGTTTTAATACCAGGTACAAACCACATTCATCTCTGAGGAACTAAAAAAATATTCTCATTTAATTCAGTGTGAAGGTTGACACATATTTTGCCAGAATTATGATTTGGCATATCTCTGCGGTGATGTCAATATCTTTTGATAAATGCATAAACACTTTAAGAAACCTTTACTTCTAAGTTGCCACCATCTTACAGAAGAGATGGCTTTAAACATGCTTGAAAAACTCCAAAAACAAAACTATACCATTTCATTTGCTGGCACTACTCTTGACCATTTACTTTGGGTGTAAGCTCTGAACTAGAAATTCTGTTACTGCATCAAGCAACTTGAGAGTTTGCGGTTTTGCCATGAACTACATGGACTACCCTAGGCAAACAGTTTTTCTACTTTCTCCTCTTTATAACAACAGACAGACTCTTCTATTTGGTTCACAGAAAGGTATATGTTAATCATTAAACTTCAGAAAACAGTATTAATAAAGCATCTTATTCAGGGTTTTGTGATGAACAGAAGAAACCCAACACCTCCACTTTTACCTTTTCTCCAGAATGACTGTAACAATATAAGTTTCCATCCACACACCCAACACACACGTACTTCTCATTGCAGTGAGGAGAG